TCAGCATGAGAGCTCAGCTAAGCTCAGCCTATGTGCCGGCTTGGCACAGAACAGACAGAGATAAAACATTGTCTCAGAAGCACCTGCACTATTTCCTGGACTTGTGCTCTCTGTAATCTTCTGGGCGCAACGCTGTCTCCGTGAGACAAGTTTCATTACTGTTCATTTCTCCCGCAGATGATTATTTTGCTCACGACCAGAACTGTGGACGACAGGAAAAATTAAGGGTTGAAACGTGAATTGATTAAACTGCAGTGATAATGAATTTGACATGTAATCACACTTTCTGTTAACTGATCATTAACCATGACTGGTATTGGAAAAAAAAGAAAAAACAAGGAGCTAGAGAGGACACCAAATTGACTCCTCTTCATCTCCTCTTCCTCTGTGCTTACCAACACTTTGATAACTGTTAACAGGATTGTTGTCCTGAGGACAGCATCAAACAGTTACCGAAGTGAAGATGTGCAAAAGTGTCTACAACACCAGACAATCAATAGCAATTCATTGATCAAGTTACAGGACTAGATAAATATTGAACAACAAAAGCATTCAAGATGTGTTTTTAGCACCCCCTGCTAGTGAGCTATTTGTCTAGGAAACATAACAATTTCTGCATATTGTTCCTTCACTGGTATCATTTAATTTTAGCAGTATCAGCACAGTAGAAAAAACAAAAACGGAAAACAATGAAACAAAGCAGATTTGATTTGCATAAATTTCAGGCGTTGAGTAAGCAGAGAAACTGTGAATTAAAAATGTGTCCGAGACAAACAGTCATGAAAACTATGTCTGGATGAGGCCTGAACAGTGATGCAACAGATTCTGTGAAATCTGGGCTGTATTCCCAAAAACCGAAGTTCCAAAAAAAAAAAAAAAAAACCCAGAGGGCTTGCTTCTGTTCCATGATTTTATCCTTCAAACTAAATATTTAGGATGACAGCTGGACTTTCACTCTCACACAAAGGAACAATTCTTCTAGACTATATGGAAGTCCGTGACTGTGGGCCAGTAGACACAGGATTACAGCTCATCAGGGGATGGACATGTTGGGAAAACCTTCCCCTGGATTCCATGGAACAGGTCAGCGAGTTGTAAGCTACAACAACTAAATGCTCATTTACACCCGAAGGTGTGAATTCAACACTGAGGCATGAGTTGTAGTTTATAGTGCAACCAAAATAACTCCAGGTCCAGGGCAGAGCCATTGTTTTTGTTATGGTTCACGGGAAGAGGTGTCTCATTGTGGGAGCAAATGTTGGGCAGCGAGGCGAAAATGGCAACCTCCAGGACGTGTCTTACACTAATGCTTTTCCAGCTGCTCTACCTTAGGCTGATTGTTCCACTGTGCCTATCACAGAAAGACGGGAGGCCATTTGAACAGAGCCTAGGCTGGGGCCGGCCGAGCACACTTTGGCCCTCACATGCTCCATTAAACCAGGAGCGGGTGAGGGAGTGGAAGTATGAGGTCTTGACAGTTCCTGGCTCAGAGCCCCGCTGCCGACACAATTACTAGCCCCTTGTCCCTCATCTGTGCTTTACTACCTTGTTTAAAATGGCTGCCTGAAGCATTGACTGGATGTACAACAAAGGAGCTGCTCAAAGAGCACTGCACTTTCCAAAAACGAAATGCATGCAATGTATAACTCGTATAATTGGCCTGTGCTTATTTTAGAGCCGTCGAGCAATTAAAACATTTTATGTGATTAATCACAGTGCAGCTGGGAATTGATCCCTATTAATAGTGATTAATACCGATTCTAATCAATCATGACCGAGATTCATCAACATTCTACCGGAAACTATTCTGTATATTGCTGACGGAGAAAGACAAATAACAGCAGGTGAGTGTATGGGTTTATGTTTGTCGGTTCAAAAGACCACTGCCGTGCTGCTGTACGTTAAAAAACCTTGTATGAAAAAGTGCTATTATCCTTAAAGGTCAGCGTGGTCTGAGCCTACGGTGGCTGAATGAGGAACAAATACCTTGAAACATCACAGACTCATAAAACCACGTTGAATGCAATGCCATTTTCCCCGAGGCAGAAAACAGCTGCTCGGTGCTTCATCCCTAACACTCACATCATTTTCCCTCTTCTTCAGAAGCTGTGCAGTTTACCAGACAAAGTAAAAAAAGAAAAAAAGAAAAACATTTGCTGATAATAGAAATAACTCAAGTGTCAACTGATTCAAGACAGAACACAATGCTACGTTGTATCGACAGTTATTTTTATCGACTTCGTTTAGCTGCTTCAGTCACATCTCCGGAAAGTCACATCTTCACAAACAGCACTGCTTACGTTTCCATTTCTATTTTTCCCCCCATTTCTATTCCGTACGTCAGATTGTGTTTAAGAATTAATGCCTCAGCAGTGATTGACGCCTGCCGCGCACTTGTCAGTCCAAATGGTTTACGTTGATTTCCAGTCTGAAATGAGAACGCTGGAGGATGCTGCTCATTTTGAATTTCCATCGTGTGATGATGACCCTTTCCTTAGCTGCGAAGCAAGGAATCTATTTTTATAGCCTCTCACTAAATGGTTTCGTATAAAAGTTATTGACGGCAGCTTTTGATTTTCCAAACACAATCTCACTGTGATAAACTACAGCACTCACGGTTCGTTCTCACCGTGTCACTTGCAATTAATTCACAGTCTGGAGCCATGTTTTTGATGACAGGCGGGATAGTAAACAAATCTACAAAAGGAAACAAATTATTAATAAGATTTGTAGTTTGACCTGATGGCACTGATAGCAAGGGAAAAAAAACAGACGGAAAAGCAGTCCCTGCATCACCAGAGGGAAATATAAAGGTTAATTCAGATGAGCCCATTTCCTTTCCCAGAATAGAGCTTCCTACATGAGCGGGTTATCAGTTGTTGTTACTAGATTAACCCGAACCCAGCTCAACACACGGAAAAACAATGCATTGTTTCTCATTTTCCCACTCTATAATTTATGCTCCAAATTGAGATGGCCCCCAAAAAGAGAAACAAGAAAGAAGGCAGGGAGTAAAAGGGGAGTTCATGAAGAAGGACAGCCTCAAGTCAGCTCCAGCAGAGGGGCCTCGCTGACCTAGTTCCAGGCTGAGTGGGGATGATATTAGCAAAGCAATTAAAGGAGATGACAGCCGTCAGGCAGGGTCAGACTGACAGGCATAGCAGTCTGTCTCCATCCCTCTTAAGCGTGTTCTCTCGTCGTCTTCGCTTCTCCTTCTCTCTCCTGTAATGGCTATTGATTTTTCACAACCAAAACAAGAAGCCCTCTCACCACAGAAGTGGCTGAATTGGTAAAGAGATTTAGAAAAAAAAAAAAAGTTTTTTAAAGGTGAAGTGGGTGGAAGAAACAAGACAGTGTCGATGTAAGGAGGGAGCTCACAGGTTGGTGACCCCGTTCGCTCTTCGCTTGGATGTTCAGAAATCACTCCAGGCATGTCCAAAACTTCATTCCCTAGTTGTGATTGGAAAGTGCAACTTCTGCCTGTAAAAGTTGTTCCATACTTTTGCCTTGAGGATGGAAAGAGAACAGTTAGGCCCGAGTTAAATTGAGTCTGAAAAATCATTTTTTTAAAAACAAAGCAAAATGAGTGCATTTTTCGGATCATTTTTATGTCAGAGTTACATATTTGATATTTGTGGTGAATAAATGGGTAACATTTTTTTTTACATTCCTTGTTTAGTTAAGGGTTATGGACATATTACCATGTGAGAATGTAAGGAATGTCTGAGGCAAAAGAAGAAAAAAGATGAGACACGGCAGCAACCACAGCGGTGAAAACAAGACTGTGGAAAATCTCATAAGAGACATATTACATTCGCTCTGCATTAAAAAAGCGCCACGATCCATACATCCAAATTAGATTTACCGCAATTACAGGATATAGCAGCCCCTTAAATCCCTGTACGTTCGGCTGTCATCCAGCCAATGCCGCGCGTCTCAGCATCCCAGCATGCCTTGCTCCAGGCATGAAACTGACTTGTTGTGTTCGACAATCTGATCTCAGTGTGTGGTTGACTGACGAAAGGTAAACATCCACATTAGAGTTTTACACCAAAACAGCCAGGTGCAGCGCAAGTGACGTGATCAGATAAAACAGCAGAGACGGTGTTTGTGACAAACTCCGGTGAACGTAGGCTGCCGCTCGCTCCAAATGTGCTTTTAAACTGCAGTGTGTGTGTGTGTGTGTGTTTAATGAAATCTGTAGGTGGTATCTCTTCACTAACAGCTGCTACTGAAGAGATGCAGACAAAGGCAGAGGCATCGAGTGTTTTACCAGCAGATCTGGAGGAAGGAGGAGAGTATGTGTGAATAAGAGATCTCTGACTCTCTCTAAATGCCAGAAAGACTAAAAAAAACAAGGGTAAAATCAGAAGTCCTAAGACACATCTAGAAGGTGTTATATCCAAAGATGTCTGATTTTAATAACTTGTTACACTCCTTAGGGTCTAAACAGCTTTTTACAAGTTTCATCGCCGCGTCGTTGTTGAGAGTCGAGCTGCATTACGTTCTGTTTCATCAGTGCTTTTTAAACTCTGAAAACGTCATATTTGAAACCAAACTTCAACTTGTTTTTATCTTTTCCTGTATCATTTGAAGGAACCTGATTTTGGTCGCTAGTCAAAGTCAAGAACCAGGGAGGTGTTAGCGACACACACCAGAATTCGTATCTGATGAAAACACCACTTGCAGAAGTGTGAAAACTTAAATGGAGGACAAGTGAAGAAATGACTTTGTTATCTCTATAAATAGGGACTCGCTCCAATTTGTCTTAGAACTCATCAATATACCCTTACACGTGTCAGGTCACATGATCAGACATTCCACTGCCAGGTTTTCATATGTGATTAGTTTGCCTTTATTTTTATATTCAGCCTCAAAATCATATCAAAAACATTTCAAAAAGCTGCATTATTTAATATGGAGAACAGAAAAAAACAGTTGAGTCGTGATCATTTTAATAAGCAGGACGAGCTTGAAGTGAAAATTGTTCTGCTTCTGCTGATTGGCATGCAGGGACTTTCAGATAGCACTTCTTTTTTTTTTTTTTCAGAAGCAAAGCTGAAGAAAAACATATGGTGCAGGAATGTGCGTTTACAAGTGTGCCGTAACCTTTGCTGAGCGCCTACACAAACCCTTTGACAACACATGGAGACTTTTAATAGTTTCTCCCGCTCACCATATTTGCAGCTCTGAATGTTGAGGTGTGCAATCAGCCGCAGACTTTCCTGACAACATCATTAGAGCCAGAGAGAAAAAGGGAAGAACCCTGGCTTAAATGCATAACTGGTAATGACCACTGGCATATCAGCTATCACTCAACTGCGCTGTCTTTATTTGCTGTGCCATCATTAGTACAAAAATTAATTAAAAACCAAAATCAGCAATAACAATTCAGAAGAATGACACTGGCCTTCTGCGTCCCTGGTTAAATGTGAAATACGCTCCTATTTTTTTTCAGCCTCAAGCAGAATGGGCGTACGTGCTAAATTTAGCACCTTAGTCACATTTGTGAACAGCAGTGGAAAATGCAGTGAAACATAACAACATAAGAGTAGTGCATATGCCTGGACAGAGATACGAGGAGCGCTGCAGATGAGCATCGATGCTAATGTCTGCAGTGGGAAAATAGCCGAGTGATACCGTCCAATGATACCTGAATAATTCAAATGAGGTAAGTTCTAGGTTTACAAATGGAGAGAAGGTTAACTGAACTCTGGGGAACTTTAAATGCGTGCCCAAATATTCCACATGATTTATTTCTATTTTTCAAATCAAGATAGTGAAGCTGGAAAAAAAGGCTGGTCCATTGTGCGATCATTTTAAAAACTCATGTTTCTGACTCACTAAAGCCTGATGGCAGCTGGATATGTTGAAATTTTAAAGACCCTGACAGGCCCACTGAGCAACACAAAGGCCAGTTACAGCAGAAAGCCACAGTCTTTATCTCCATTACAGATGGAAATGATGTGTCAGCATCTTCAGTTTGAATGTTGCAGTGACATAAAACTCACCGGCCGAGTGTGTAAACACACACTGCTAACACGGAATGACCAATAATTCTCCACAATACGGCCGAGCTGCTGCTGCTGCTAACTGCGGTAACTAACTCTCACCTGCATGGCAAGTGATGACGCGTGCTAAAGTTTGATATGGCACGTGTCATAAAGTCCCTCTATAGCAAGAGAACCAGAATAAAAATCAATATGGCATCACATGCATGAAGGCCAAGCACAGGTGGGCACTCAAGTGTAGATATCATTAGACGGCTGAACCTGTCAGACACAGCGTTCGCCATCAGATAGCTGACCAAGATGGTTGATACAGAGGGCTGCAGGACATCTTCACCAGAGAAAGTGAAAGGCAGCTGAGCAGCCAAGATGGACGAAGGAAAAACAGACAATCTGATGATACATACTTTTTGGCTTATGTTTTTTTTTTTGTCTGTGTGAGAATCACGAGCCTCGGCTAAAGCGTCACTTTAAAAAAGCCATGAGAATTTTAAGGGAGGTTTAAATAAATAAAATCCAGCCTTCAGCAGGTTTGTTGCTGCGGGAGAGTCCGTTTTCTGCACTGAATGTGTGGCATTTTTAGTGAGCAACAACAAACAGTAGCTCATTGTTATCATTACAATGAAACTAAAAAAAAACTGTGGGTGTCGATTTAGTCCTCCGTTCAACAGGAATTTTTATTTATTATTATATATTTGGTAGAAGATATTGTTGATTAAACTTCCTGGATATTCTCAGGTATTTAAATATTTGTATAATTCCTGCACTATTTGTATATAAAGTATATATATTTGAATATAATTTTTTTTTGCATGTTTCCACTATTTCTAGTATAACTTTTACATTAGACCCTGTTTCAACAACTTTTACTTCTACTTTCTTGCCTCAAGCAAACCTGCGGTTGTGTTCCAGAACACTAAAAGAAAAACAAAGAAATAAATTAATAACAATAGTCAGCCCCCACTGTGAGTCGGCAGACCATAACTAGACATCCAACACCGCGCTCACTGTTCTTCTTCTTCTTTCGACTTTAACGGCTGCTTGCAGCACTGAGTCGTGTTTCTGCAACTGCAGCGTAGCAGGGAAACTGAAGGCAGAGGGCAGCATCACAGTGCGTGCTTTCGACACAGATGCTCTCCTGAAAGCATTACTGTTGCGTGACTCTCGGATGACGACACTCCAGAGAAAGCACTTAGATACTTTTTTTTTTTCATTTCTCTCGCAAACGTGTATATGCTTGGAAGTTCCTGAGGGCACTTGAAGATTTAAAACTGCCAGCATGCCCCGTTCACAGATATTAGCCTCAATGGCTGGGATAAGATACCGTGCCAAACCCCTGCTGTGCCTGTGTCTGCGGGTTTGTGTGTGTGTCGGCGTGTGTCAGCCTCTTAGGATTCTATGCTCCTTTAACCACGGGCCAACCCCCTGCAGCGCCTTACGTCTTAATCACTCCAGGGGCGGGCGAGAGACAATAGCTCACTGTTTGTGTGACGGGAATATAACAGGTAGACGTGAGAGCACCGGATCTGTGCACTCAGGTTAGTCTGTGCTACGGTCTGCTAATAACAGCTGAATGTGCATGTGGCGCATGAAACAAAAGGGGAAGCCATTTTTGTCATTAAGGCAGAGGCTGAGAGGCTGAGAGGCTGAGAGGCTGAGAGGCTGAGAGGCCGTCTCATGAATGGTAACACGGAGCTTTTGGAAAAGCCTGACCTCGCGTGTTGCTTCCCTCTGCCTCCTCTCAGTTCACCTGATTGCTCTCAGCAGCAAAGACAGTATCAAACGTACGGCTCTCGGCAGTGAGGTCAGGGGTCATATCATTAGCAACAGCACTTTCCCGCTTAGAACAGACCTCCGTCTAAGACCGCCTCCATAATTTCCTGTCTGTACAGCTGAACATTTGTCCGCCCTCCATTCAGATAAATGCCCTTCTCAAGGTTTTTTTCCCCGCCTTTGTCAGCATTTACAGACTCCTTGTGCTTTAACTA